TAAGGACACAGTATCATTTTAGACGAGACAGCGTACTCGTACCCTTGGTTTTGGAGCGTAGTGACATAATAAAAACTCACGGGAGTCATAAAAGTCAATTAAAGTCGTGTTTTGTGTTAATAAAAGAAACTGTGATCAAAGAACTTTGCATTTAAGAGACCAAGTTCCCAGAAAGATATACTTTGTTCTATTGAACTATTCTAAACCACACCTTATAATAAAAACCCAATTTTGAACGAAAACTCTTGAGACTTGAACCTAAGAAGACAAAAGTGGTATTTCTTAATACCAAAGGCCCTCGAACTCTTGCACCGAGATTGTGATAGTGTGTGTGTGTGTGTGTGAGTGAGTGTTAGGTGTTTAGGGTTTTCCCCCGACGCGCTTGATCCTTGTTTGCGTGTTTCGCACTTTCACGTTCATCCCCGTGCAAAGCGTATCACAGGCCCCCCATAGCTTAGGGGATTTTTATCTGGACATTCTACTCATGGATTTTTCAAAATTTCTTCAATTTTCCTCCAGACAGGCCTGAGGCCTGCCTGGATTTTTTCCAAATTTTCCTCTGGATACGGATCAGGGATTTGACATGAATTTCAGGGGTCCTATTCTTACAGTGTTTTGCATGTGAGATTGCACTGCAAATCCCACGAAAACTTGTTTGCATTTGTATTTCGTGACCTGAAGTAACCATTTTGGGTTGATTTTGGGTGTAGAACGCATGACATCAACCACAACCTACAAATGCAAACAAGTTTTCGTGAGATTTTGAGTGCAATCTCACATGCAAAGCACTGTACTTACTATGTTTGTTCAGGTGTTTGAAACCCATCAGGTGTTTGAAACTGTGGATTATCTTACCTTCCACTTGCCTTGGGGCCTCAGAATTTTGACAGAAGGTGTATTTATGTATTAAAGTTATTGTCTCAAAATTTTAGAACGAGAGCCAAAGATTTGTGGTCTGGGGACATGGATTTGTGGTTTTCATTACACCAGACAAACAAAAGTAATGGGATGTTCTCTCAGATCCCTCCAGATCGGCTTGACTGTTTATTCTAAAACTTTCCAAATGCATTTGAATGGCATACTTAAGTTCAAATAAAAAAATTTAGATAGTGAGGTGAAGTTGTTGTTTCAGGAAGGGCAACAGACCAAATTTTGCTGTCTCAAAAAACATGACATTTGCATGACATTGGCACATCATCCATCAGCCAAATTCATTGTTACCTAGTGTGACACGAGCTTCAATCTCCTGATATATCTGAACCCTGAGCACTGGAATGCCTCCGACAGCGAACACAACACATTTATATTTTAAAAAAGTAGATATTCATATAGAAGAGAAAAAAGATTATTGGCTTGTAAAAATTTAAAGAATTCGATGAAGTGGTGAGGCAGAAATCGCACAGCAGTGAAAAAGTTTCAAACACCTGAACAAACATAGTAGTTCGGGCTCAGGTGCCATGTCTGGAACAAAATAATGCCTAATCAGGCGTTATTTAACACCCGTTTGGGAACAATCAAAAATTAACACCCAATTGGGATTGCCATCAAAATTAACACCTGAATAGGCAGGCAGCCCCTAACACACACAATCTTCCACAAATCCATAATTTGTGCCGCAGGCTGAAAAAAAATAGCTGTATTCTATGTTTACCTCTACTTATGTGGTCAGTAAAATTTGAAATGTTTGAAATCACAGTAACATAGTTAACACCTGTTCTGGAACCTGGGAAATTTTAACACCCAATTGGGATTAACGCCCCGAGCAGTTCACCTCCCTACAGGCCAGAAAAATATTTGAATAGCTCACTTTACTTGTGATAAATTGTAGGATACTCCAATGGGAACCCAGAATGCAATTTTGAACCATTGGGAAGAAAAATTGTGCTGTTCTGAGCATATAAAGTCAGTTCTACTCAATGCAATTGCTCATCAAAGTATGAGTCAATGCTAATAAAATATTTCAGGGTATGTGGAAGCACTTTACATACAATTCTCCTTCCTAATGGCATGTTGCCATGCAGCAGGCAACAAAAAAAGAATCAATAGGTTAAAAAAATTGTTGTGCTGCTATCAAATGCTGATACATGAGCTACTGGTATGTTATTAATATTTCCTGGCATTGCCTTGACCTTCATGTGCAAAAGAGTTGTATTTATTTGAAGATCTGGACTGTATTACAATAAATCTATCTAAAATTGTAAATAAATCTGTCAAAATTGAACAACTCTTGCTCTTGATCTACAATTTTACATATGTAGTCAGGGTAAAGTACCCTACTTCTTAGATGCACATTTTTGAAAAACCATTGACTGTTCATGGCTCCAGAGCCGTAGTTCGTTTGTTCGTTCGTTGTGATCGAAAGCCATCAAAACGGTTCCTGGGTCTCGGCTAATGGGCTGAGTTCTAATTTTGACCGCATTTGGTCTGAAAGCTTCAACTTAGAATAATCTTTGAGTGAAATGACGGTGCGACGCGTTGTCGACGCGTGCAGCTTGTCCAAGGTCCAAATTAGCATCTATGGTGCAGCAGACACAAGAAACAGACCTCGATGTATTTATAGAGGTCAGCCTCAGGCTCGAGCTCAGCTGTGGGTCAAAATGCTGTGTAAGAATGCTGTTCTCTCCGAAGACTAGTTATTACTCTTATTTTAAAGTAATCCCCGGCTTTCGTCTGTACATGTTTGCCTCCCCTCCATTTCTGGGTCCGGAAGCCAAAGCTGCCGAGCGCAGGCTTGGCTCTCTCTTGGTTCCTTTCGTTCGTGCTCTCTGAGTAGCTCGTTTATATCAAGTTTCCTCTGTTTCTATGTTCCGAATCTAAATCTATTGTTTGGTGGCTACCTTTCCTAAACTGTCTTACTTCCCTCTGTTGTTCTCTTCCTCGAACTTTATATGGTGCGCATGTGAGTTTCTATCTATTCGCTTTCCCCATCTATTCATCGCCCATGTCTTCCCTTCTTATCATAGGTTTTTTCGCGCTCGCTTCGGGCAGACGCCTTGCGATCACAAAGCCTGGTGCTAAGTCCAGAACTTGGTATTGTTACTATTCCACCACCATCCAGACCTCTACAGGCAACATACTTCCTGCGGACCTTCGCATCTACAGCCCAATCAACGACGTCGTTCATCCTGACAACACCATTGCTTTTGTTATCGCAAAGGCTTATATTCCTCCCAACGACACCACTTTCCTCGATGTCCTACACTTGGCCATCTGCCCTGGTGACCCCTCCAGCGTAGTGTTTGAAAGTCCAGTTCGGTCCGGTTTTTTGATGCCCAGGGGCGTTAACCGTAACCGTAACCGGTCTGCCTTTTCCCCAGAAGTCAAAAGACCAGACCGGACCGCAAAAAGACCACAGACCGCGGTTTTTTGCGGTCTATAGACCAGTTTCGGTCTGCATCAGTTTTAACCGGTTTATGACCGGTCTTTAGGCCAATATTTTAAAATTATGAATCGGTAAATTTATTAACATCTCTAATAGCTTCAAAACGAGCCCAAGAACGTTAAATCCCGTTAGGTATTGGTGCTTCTATAAAATAAGTCTGGTACATCTATTATTCCCAAAAGTAATTTACATTTTAATTCATATCTCTCTCGTTTTTTTACCAAATCGTACGTTCTTGGGTGCGTTTTAAAGGGTATTTAAGGGGCTACA